CTATTTCATTTAATTCAACAATATTCCCTGAGAAATACAAGCAGGAGTGTGTTCTATAATAGGCATGCATTCACTCCCGGAGTGCTCATATACCCTGCCCACTTTTATTTGTTACCTAGTGTGTATTTTTTTATGGTTTCTTTATGCAGGTTACTTTTTGTTCCTCTCTAAGAGTGAACTGGCAGTTGTACTGCACACATTACAACCCCCCCCACCCCCCGCCCAATTTTGCTGGCTAAAGGGAAAAGTGTCATGGGCACAAGGGCTGATTTAAATGGAGAGCAAGTGGCAATTATCCAATTCTATTAGAGCCCTCTCCCCAGTCCCCACTTGGCTGGAGCCTTGCTTTAAAATACACTGGCTGGCTGAGTAACCTGAACAACAGATTAACCATAAATGCATTCCTGGAACTTAAGTTCCTCTTGCCTTGGTGCTGTGTACAATTATCAGGAACAGGGTACCACAGGGTCAGGATGAGAGTCAGCATCAACTCAAATTCTGTTAGGGCAGCATCAACATTTTGTTTCAGTAACACAGACAGATGCATCTTCAAAATCATCATTACAACATATAATCTTAAAATGCATGAGCTGATCTTGTTATTCTAATCCCTGTATTAGGTTAATGCAGCATTATGAAAATGTTTACTTTTGGGTATATATTTTTCTTGCATATAAAGGAAACAAAGACATTTGAGTCTATGCTAGATCTGTTAAGAATAACAGAATTAATCACTGTATAGCCAAACTGACATAATTCTTGTTTTTCTGTTGAAATTAAAGAAAATCTCTTGTGCTATCTGTTCGTTTTTTCACATTAATTTATTTCCTCAGCAAAATAAGCTCCTTATAGGCAGGCTATGTACCTCACAAGATCTAGTACATTGTAGTAATTTAAAAAAAAAAAAAAAAGGATGACTGAGTGATCGTAATCTAAGTGCTAGGGATAAATTTCATCCTGCTTTGAGGCTGCTGAATAAATATATAATCTGTGATCCTGAACTGGGAACCTCGTGGGTCAAAATCTTGACTATGTGGGAAACGAATATCTTGTTCAAGGCGAAAGACTTTCCACACAGCAAGTCCCAGTGAGCTGCATGAATTCTAGGTGGACTTCCCTTGAAGCAAGGATTTGGGCAAGGTGCCCTACTGGTTCCTTTTATTTACATGGAGTAGTAGTGAAAGTTGCTCAGTTGTGTCTGACTCTTTGTGACCCCATGGATACACATACAGTCCATGGAATTCTCCAGGCCAGAATACTGGAGTGCATAGCCATTCCACCTTCTCCAGGGGATCTTCCCAAATCAGAGATCCAACCCAGGTCTCCTGCATTGCAGGTGGATTCTTTACCAGCTGAGCCACCAAGGAAGCCCTCATTTACATGAAGCTGCCCAAAGTTAAAAAAAAAAAAAAAATCCATGTGTAAAAGTACCAGAATAGAAGGGCATTTACATGAAGAGCCAGGACATTCTGTTTCCTGAAGATTATAGCTTTGGTTTCCACCCAGTCCTGAGTCCTTATTGCTGGTCTCCATCCTTAGGCTCTCTAGCGTGAGGTTATGTGGACTGATACTCTTCTAAGACTCATCCAATCTGTTACCTTCCGAATGAGCCCTCTCTGCTCAATTTTCGGCCTAAAGCATGTGCGATTCTTCTACCTTCCCTCAACACCCTGTGCTTATGTCAAGCTTTCGGCCTTTCACACTATGATCTGCTATCTCTTCTACCTATGCCCCACCAGACTGTTATCTATTCAAGAACTAAATAATGTTGATAAATGCCTGGCACTTTGTAAGTGCTCAATAAATAGTATTGCCTTTTTGAGAGTTTGAAAATATAGTTTTGGCCAAATAGTATACTTAGAAATCTCTAGGCCATGTCAGATTTTTTTGATTGTGAGCTCTATAAATTAAACATAATAAACCAGCACATCATAGATGCAAAACCTTAGGGGTTTTGACCATTAAGTGGTCACTCTTAAGTAATGTTAGTATCTTTCTCTTATTTATCAAAAGTAGAAGCTAAAACATAAAGAAAAAAAGAGAACAGTCTCTAATCATTTACAAAAGATATCTTTTTGAATAGGATTTAGCTCACAAAGAATCTACAGAGATTCACGGCTTTAAGGTGAAAAAGGTGGGAGTTTTTCTGGACTAGAGTTCAGCTTCTAGTTCAACTCCTTTATTTTATGGGTATGGAAAACTCGGGAGCAATAGTTTAGCAGGTGAAATCAACTCAACTTTTAAATCTGACAATTACCAAGCACGGAGTTATTGCATTGTTCTGCTGCTGCTTCATGTTTAAAGACTCAGATTACTTGCATCGGCTGCCAAGGACAGTGGTAAAACTCAGACACTGTGGCACTCCTTCCAAAAGCCCACAGTGACTGGTGAGCCAGGAAAACATGGGAAAAGAGGTATTTTGAGAGATGACAGCTAAGTGAGTGCACAAACACCATAAACTCTGGTTCTCACTTTGGCCACAGAAGGATATATGATATTTTTGAAACATCTATAACAGAAACTAATTGGTGGTTAATGAAATCAGTACACATGCTAAAGAATGTGAATACTTTCCCCAAAAGCCACAACTAGAAACCACTCTAGCAACCACAATTTCAATTAAAAAGACAGCTGTCATTTTGGAAGAAAACGCTGTTCCTTTCGCTGGACAGGCCATATCCAAGTTTTAAGGAACTTCAAGGGGAGCGGAACTGACAAAGACCTAAGCACAAGTATTATGGTCTATCTAATGCCAAGTGTTTCTCCCTGATCTTCAGTAGTCAAGAGCCGAAGTCAAAGGCTTGGATTCATGGGACCATTCACGACAACAGTTCAGTTTCAAGACACTAAGGAAGGTCATCTTCAAACTCAAATTAGGCCATGTTTCACCCTTTTAAATCCCAGGAAAATAATTCCACAAATAGAATGAGAATTTATTACGTTCTCTATCCCCATCACTTTGATAACTTCTGAGAACACTGACAAATCTAATTTAGGAAAAGATAAATCTGGACTCTTAACTCATAAAACTAAGAAAAATACTATTCCTAATGGTGAGTTTTCTTAAATGCCATTTAAATTTAGGCAAGTCATTTATTTGATTAACAAGCCAGCTGTTTTTCCTTTTTTTTATGAGGGAAGAGCATGGATTGATTATGAGGGTTTGCACTCTTTCCGGTCTGACATATTTAGATGTCTCACAACAGCATTCTTATTTGGACCAGTGCTCACAGAGCCTCTGTTCTAAGCATCTGTACGGTTCTCTGCACGAGGGACCTCAGGCCGCTGCCCTGCCTAGGACAGGGCTGTGGCACACTGGGGACAGTGCAGAGCTGTCAATCTCCCCGTGTTCTTGGAGGTAACAGTAGAGGCAGCTGCACTGGGAGGTCAGGAGGTGCTAGCTCAGATCCCAATTCTGCCACGAGCTTCAACAATCACTCGGAAATTTGCTTTTTTTCTAAATAGTACAACTAGAAGGTATTCTCTAAGGAAGGTTCTCAGGACCACCAGTGCAAGCCAAAAGCCCAGGAAAAAAGACTCATTTACAAATTTCCCCAAATGCTAAGCTTAATATATTTATCATGATTTCTGTTAGCCATAGTTCCTGTTCTTGCCAGTAAGGTTGAGGAGTCTCCTGCCAATAAAATAATGAACCCATGAAAAATGCATCCAAAAGCACACGGCATGGTAAGATGAATGATCTTGTCTGCAAATGAATATGAATTTGATCTCTAATCAATCTCCCCAGAAGTAGCCTTACTTTTTTTGTTCTTTCTATACTAGGACTCATTTCCTAAAGGATGATCACTTTTTGTTCTAAGTCAAACTATTGTGTTTTCTAGGTCTTTCAATGTCAAGTTCAAACGTGACCTGTTTCAAAAAGCTGTTCCTGTTCTTTGCAACCAGAGAGTCTCTGCACTTTATTCCCTACGTCTGCCCCCTTCAAAGTCCCAGACCACTTTTCTCCAATTCTACCCGTGTTCTCTGACGACTTGTAGGTTGATATCATGCTCCCGGAGGTGGGGCAGGGCCTTCCTTTTGTTCTTGGTCTCCACTGAGATGACTTGAATCAAAGGACTCAAGTACAGAGCAGAGACGGAGGTTGGAAGGGGTCTTAAAAAGAACCAGGTCCCCAAATGAAAGAGCAGGGTACCATGATGCATTAAGGGGAAATGACAGAAACACTTCCACATACCCTGGTTTTTGCTTCAGCAGGTGTGTGCAGGAAGGGGCAGCATGTCTACCCCAAAAGGCTGTCTTGGTTTTATGGTAATTTCCCTTCTCCTTCAAGCTGAGACTCTTGTTTGAACTTTTGGTAACAGAACTTTCTGCCATTAACTTTTGCTCCACAACTGAATTATTCCTAAATACAGGTCAGCTGCCCATCTTCTGATCGGCCATTCTCAGAGGAAATGAAGTTAGGCTAAATAAATACTATGTGAAAGGCTGGATTTGATTTCTGTCACCAAGAGTGTTTCCTGAGTATGGAATCTTATAAAGAATCTCCTATTTGCTCTAGTTAATTTGATATTATGTTGCACTGCCCATAGTTACAGAGCACAGTCCCCATCTGTACATCACCACAGCTATTTCAGACTGGTAAACATGTTTGTGTCCTGATGGTTACTGAATATTTAAAAGAGGATAACATCCCTTCCTGAGTCTTATTTCCCTCTGCACTCGTGACTAATCTAACACTATTACACAGCAGGGACTTGAATTTGACCATTTTCTTTTTAGATAATTTCTCTTCATTTTTCTGGCTTTATGAAAGGAAAAAAAAAATGTATTTATCCTCTATAGGGAAATCAGGATCATTAGATTCTTAGTTTAGAAAATTCCAAATGGAGGATACAACTTTGAATATAAAGTGCAGGACCCAAATACCAGGAAGTCTTTCAACAAGGATGAGGAGTGTTTCAGAGGCCAAGAGAACTGGGAAGGCTTCGTCCCACAAGCCACAGTCACGGAGTTTTCCGGCGAACCCCTAGGCCCCTCACCTCTTGTTCCTGTCCTCCAGCTGCAGTGTGTATACCATGTCGTCGGCAGCGTGCGTCTTGGCGTTACTGTCTCCCCATTTCAGCTTCAGGCTCTGAGGCCCAGCAGCAGCACATTCGAGCCTAGGAGGCAAGGGTGGTAACGGCCGAGTTTTTGCTTTAATGAACTGACTAAATGGTCCAGCTCCAATTTCATTTATGGCCTGAATTCTGATCCTGAAAAAAGGGAAAAAAAAAAAAAAATCACAAACACAGGCTTAAGAACCAGTGATTCCTCATTTGAAATCAACATTGTATGGCATATTTCTTACTTGCTCCTATAAAGCAGCGTCATGGAATAAAGGAAAACCAGCTAAAATAATCAACACAAAACGGGCAGCTCGGAAGACACATTATCTTCTCCATTCCAAAACCAACAGCCCAAAACACCACATTAGCAAGATATTCCTTAGTTCTTTTATTTAAAAAAAAAAAAGGACTCTTGTTTCTCTTGTTTAAGGGAACATACACTAAAGACTTTCATATTTTATTCTGGCCACCCTTTGGCTGCCTCATCAGTTTTGGAAGTAAGTAAGCTATAAACAATAAATGAAATTATAAATGAAAGAGGAGAACAAGAGAGTCTTCTTCAGATTTTGACAAAAAGGACAACAGCTCTTCGATAGTGCATTTTTCCTTCTCTGTCTCCAGCCTCACCCAACAATCTCTGCTAGTCTCTAACCAACACTAAGTGTGCAGACACTGCTGGTAACAGAGTGTCATTCAGAAGTGTAGAAATCTTAACTGGATGCTTACTATGTGCAGTGTTATGGGTAGTAAAGATACATTAACACTGCTCTCATGGTCAAGGAACTGAAAATCAAACAAAGTGTGTTTTCCCAGGTGGTTCAGTTGCAAAGAATCTGCCTGTCAATGCAAGAAGATGCAGGAGATGCCAGTTTGATCTCTGGGTCGGGAAGATCCCTTGGAGGAGGGCATGGCAACCCACACCACTATTCTTCCCTGGAGAATCCCATGGACAGAAGAGCCTGGTGGGCTACAGTCCACGGGGTTGCAAACAGCTGGACATGAACTGAGCATGCATGCATATATAAGACAATATTCCATCATCATTCCTATTTTTGTTCTTCTACTTGCTTGCTTAACTGAAAAATTTCTCCAAGGTCCTCAGACAACACACTGATGGCACTGCCCCATCTTTCTTCATTCTCTACACCCCTTGCTGCAGTAAGTACAAGTTACTGAAGCTTGTTTCCTCCTGGCACTGGGGGGGGGCCTACAGAGGCCTTCCTCCTCCACTTCTCAGAGTAAAGGTCTCAAACAAGCCCCCACCCCACTCTACTCTTCTTCTCCTGTAAATGGACAGTCCTCTCAATAACCTCAGCATCTCCACAGCTTCATCCACACAAGATCCTTCTCGGGTCTGCCTCTCCTCCATCTCTTCGTGCCTCATCACTAGGCCTTCAGTGGAAACTTCCACCCAGAGTCCTTGCTAGGTACACGGGCATTTTATTCAGCTGAACAAGCAGTGTGGTATCACTAGTTCTAAAAGCTTCAACTTTTAAACTTGATGTGAGTTTGAAACAGTGTTTCAAAACACATGATAATAAAAAATACAGTCAAAGAGAAATTCTCAGGAAACAGATCAGTTTAAAATATTCTTATAATTAGCTTTATGTATATCTGTCTCACAACAATTACTGCTTATATTTAAATAGAAAATATCATTACATATTACAATACCTAAATCCATTGTATGACCGCAAATGAACCTTAATTCTTCAAATTTAAAATTACATAAATTCAGCAAGTCAATTTAATAATGTCTGTAAATTGTTAAGAAGAAAAAAAAAATAGATTGGTTCCAGGTGAGATGGAGTAAGCACACACCACCCTGTCTCTCCCACTGAATGGAGCTATTAAACCTGGACAAAATAAATAAAGCAGCTATCTAAGAAGAAGAAAAAGGAAATAGCAGCTGGAAGATTTGGGGAAGAAGTTAAGCTTTCACCAAACCAGTAGTGGATTTACCATTTCCCCCCTCCATCATCCCCTGGCTTGGACTCAGTATAGCCTGAAATCCAGGTAATTCCCTCCATTCCTCTCTCTTTTGTTTTTCTTTTCTTTTCTACATTGTCTTATTCCCCAGCCCTTAGCCAATTCCATCAATTAACAGCCTAAAGAAGAAAAACTGCATGATCACATCCACTAATACAGAAAACGCGTTTAATGAAATCCAACATATATTCATAATAAAAATTCTCAGCAAACTAGGTATAGAAGGAAACTTTCTCAATCTGAAAGGGGCACTTATAGAAATAGCTACAGCCAACATTACACTTAATGGTCGAAGACTAACTGGAAGATCAGAACAAAGCAAAGATGTCTTTCACCACTCCTATTTAACATTAGGCACAAGATCCAGTTGGTGGGGGTTGGGTGGGGGAAAAGAGAGAGATGGTAAATAAATGTCAGGACACAGCTGGGACTACTTAAGACCACCTAAATAGAGACATACTGTGGTCATGGATTGGAAAACTCTACATAGAAAAAAGGTCAATTCTCCCCAAAATGATCTATAGATACAATGCAACTGTAATAAAATTCCAGCAGGATTCTCCTTAGTTGATATAGATAAGTTGATTCTAAAATTACATGGCAACGCAAAGGAACTAAAAAAAAATTGCTAACACAAATGTGAAAAATAATAAAGTTGGAAGAATCACACTACCTGATTTAGGACTTACTATAAAGTTTACTGTAAAGTAATCAAGATAGTGTGATATCAGACAGACACAGACCAACAGAAACAGACCCACGCAAATACGGCTAATTGATTTCTGACAAATTTGCAAAATTAATTCAATGAAGAAAGAACTGTCTTAACAACTGATATTGGAACAACTGGATATCAAAACCAACAATAAATCTCAATGTAAATTTCATTCAAAAGTTAACTCAGAATGGATCATAGATCTAACAACAGAATGCAAAATATAAAACACTTAAGAAGAAAACAAGAGGAAATATTTGCTACCTAGAATTAAATAATTTTTAGATATGATGTGAAAAGCATGCATCCAGAATGCATCTAAGGCCTTTCAAAACTTGGCAACAAAACTAAAAATTGGACAAGAGACTGGAACAAACACTCCACTGAAGAGGACATACATGTGGCAAATAGGCACACAAAATGATGTTTAACACCATTAGCCATTAGGAAAATGCAAATTAAAACAATGAGCTGCTACTATCTTTCCCTAATAAAGTGGATAAAATTAAAAAATACTTAATTCCATTCTAGCAAGTATAAGTAACATCTGAAATTCTCATATTTTGCTGCTAAGAATGCAAAATGGTATACAGTTACACTGGAAAAGTTTGCTTAGAAAGTTTCTTATAAACTTTAGAATACATTTATCATGTGATCCAGCAAACACACTTCTTGGGCTGTACCCTAGAGAAATTAAAACATTTATGTTCACATAAGAACCTGCACATAAATGTTTATACCAGCTCTGTTCATAATCACCCAAAACTGAATGAATATCTGCCTCAGTTTGGAATGTAGCCAACACTTATCTCTGATAAAGTACAGCTAAAATTCTATCACAAAGAGCCTCAGAGTTTAATAGCCTTTTCTCAGAGTCTATTAAACTAGGGCTTCATCAGGTCTCTCTTAGGTAATGCAATGTGAGTCTCGCAACATAGCATTCAGTTCAATTACTCAGTTGGGTCCGACTCTTTGAGACCCTATAGACTAGAGTACGCCAGGGTTCCCTGTTCATCATCAAACCCTGGAGCTTGCTCAAACTCATATCCATCAAGTCAGTGATGCCATCCAACAATCTCATCCTCTGTCATCAAGCAGCACCTCCTGCCTTCCAGCATCAGGGAACGTTGAGTCAGTTCTTTTCCAATGAGTCAGTTCTTCTCATCAAGTGGCCAAAGAATTGGAGTTTCAGCTTCAGCATCAATCCTTCCAATGAATATTCAGGACTGATTTCCTTTACGAGGGACTGGTTCGATCTCCCTGCAGTCCAAGGGACCCTCAAGAGTCTTTTCCAACACCACAGTTCAAAAGCATCAATTCTTTGGTGCTCAGGTTTCTTTATAGTCCAACTCTCAAATCTATACATGACTACTGAAACACCGTATCAATATGCTGCCTAAGTTGATCATAACTTTTCTTCCAAGGAGCAAGCATTTTTTAATTTCATGGCTGCAGTCACCATCTGCAGCGATTTTGGAGCCCAAGAAAATAAAGTCTATCACTATTTCCATTGTTTCCCCATCTATTTGCCATGAAGTGATAGGACCAGATGCCATGATCTTAGTTCTCTGAATGCTGAGTTTTAAGCCAACTTTTTCACTCTCCTCTTTCACTTTCATCAAGAGGCTCTTTAGTTTCTCTTCATTTTCTGCCATAAGGATGGTGTCAACTGTATATCTGAGGTTATTGATATTTCTCCCTGCAATCTTGATTCTAGCTTGTGCTTCATCCAGCCTGGCATTTTGCAAGATGTACTCTGCGTAAAAGTTAAATAAGCAGGGTGACAAGATACAGCCTTGATGTACTCCTTTCCCTATTTGGAGCCGGTCCGTTGTTCCACGTCTGGTTCTAACTGTTGCCCTTGACCTACATACAGATTTCTCAGGAGGCAGGTAAAGTGGTCTGGTATTCCCAAATCTTTAAGAATTTTCCATAGTTTGTTGTGATCCACACAGTCAAAGGCTTTGGTGTAGTTAATAAAGCAGAAGTAGATGTTTTGCTAGAACTCTCTTGCTTTATCTATGATCCAACAGATGTTGGGAATTTGATCTCTGGTTCCTCTGCCTTTTCTAAATCCAGCCTGAACATCTGGAAGTTCTTGGGTCACATAATGTTGAAGCCTTTTTTAGAGAATTTTGAGAATTACTTTGCTAGCGTGTGAGATGAGTGCAATTGTGCTGTAGTTTGAACATTCTTTGGCATTGACTTTCTTTGGGATTGGAATGAAAAGTGATCATTTCCAGTCCTGTGGCCACTGCTGAGTTTTCCAAATTTGCTGGCATATTGCAACATAGTATTGAAAGACTACAATAAACTCTTCTTTGCTTCCCAACATGAGTCTTGTAAAATAGCTGTATGGTATTAATGTAAGAGTTTTTTCCCTATTATTTGAAAAGAAAGAAATTTTTCTGCAACTAGAGAGGAAAAGTCTTTCTAAAAAGAT